GGTCCAAATCTAAGGAGATGCAATGTGACAGTGCAAACTACCTCTCATCATTGGGTCCAACCAAGGGGTTCAAGCCTGTCATCCCAAGCAAGTTGATGTGGTCCTTGATTATCATCAAGTCGCCCGCATTGTAGTCGGGGTTGAGACCACCTGCTGCATTGGTGACAATGAGGGTCTCCACACCCAACAACTTCATCACTCGTACGGGCAGAGTGACCTGAGCAATGGGGCTGCCACAAGATGCACCTTACCTGACTCATTGGGTAGCCCTCGTAGGGATGGCAACGACCCTGCATGACGACGACATATTTGCCAGCGAGTTTGCCGAACACGAGGTTACCGGGATGGCCTTTGACAGTGCTGATGGGGAATTGCTTGATGTCGGCATACTTGATGAGGATGGGTTGGGAGACGGCGTCGGCCACCTTATCCAGTCCGGAGCCACAGATGATGCCGACTTGTGGTGTGAGAGGCACCTTTGATTTGATGAAGTTAGCAGCAGTTGTGGCGTCTTCGTAGAAGTCCATAGGAGGTTTGTGCGTGTGTGTGTGTGTGTGTGACGATGGAGGTGCGATGTGTCCCACTGATTTATCGGTGGTTTATATGGGGCGCATGGAGAATGGAATGTGTTGCGGCTGTCAAGACTAGCCAGTGAGACAGCCGCACAACGTTGTGTTTACATCGGCGTTGAATGCAATGAAAACGGAAATTTCCACAATAATACCTTGTTCATTAATACTCAAAGTGTTTACACACTTTGACAAAGGTAATTGCCATGCAGTGAAATTTCTTTTTTCTAATCTAATCTGACATCTATGCCTTTGATTGAGTTTACAGCTTTTTCGCTTTTGTGTCAATACTGTGAACACTTCATGTAGAACCGGTATTTATTTTGTTTTTTTAAGATGTAAATGTCTGGTTCGAAATGTTTTTCAAATGTGTTACTCTAATTGGTAAATTATTTACGGACTGTAACTGCTGTTAGGGGGCTCAAGTCCAACTTATCAACCTTCTTTACGTGTTTTAAGGGGTAACATCTACCTAATCTCCTTGTGAGGCAAAAAGATAAAATGATTTGATCAGAAGCTATGCAAATAGGAAGGTGAGTCGGATGTCACTAAAGATAATTAATGATCGTTCAGTAACAGCACAGTAGAGCTTACGGGAGTCTTCACTCATCCACACTTAAGCAAAGTGATGACAAGTTGGAGTTTGTGTGCCTTGGTTGCTTGAGCTAGTAGTGCATCCATCCTTTAACGAGGTTTCCAATGCATTTGTTTAGGTGGCACTGATACAGTTTGGACGGTGTGGAAACTGTCATTTGCCTACGTTCAGGCGCACCCACACTGGCTGCTTTATAGAAATGTACACACGTCTGACACCACCTTATAAGCGTAAACATGGGTCATGCCTCGGCATAAATGCCACCGCCTATGCATTTCCGTCTGTCAGAAACAACCGTGGTCTAAGCGATGGGGTTAATAACGACTCTACCAACCTTTAGTTTTGGCCTCGACATCAAAAGGACTTTAAACCCTTCTTTTTATTACCACAAACCTATTGTGACTATCGCGGAGGGTTGAGTGGTCCAGATGCAAGCAAATATATCTCATTTTAAATCGGTGACCCATCCGTTAACCAGAATGCCCTGGCAAAGATTCGTCGATGTTTAATTCAGAGAAGTGCATTGTTCTTTCGCATGACCGCTATCATCCTAACCTCCAATTATAATGCGTCAAAGATGTTCAGCTGATTTTCCATATACAGCAGACGTAAAATTGTGCTAAATTTATTACTTCCTGGTAAAAATATTTTTCGTATCTTAATTTTATTAACTCTGAAATGCACCACAATCCATTCGTTCAGGCTTCAGAAAAGCTAGAACGTCTGCATTGCGGACCAACTCTGACGCGGACGATTTAATAATAAGGCCTGAGACAATATTAACAAAAAAAAACATGATTAAAATATTAGGAAGGAAGGAGAGGCGCCAGAGAAAACCACTGAAGTGAAATGGATGGAAACGCAGTTACTGACGTCAACTTTCTGTTTCAGATCGTCTGCTAACTTTTGTGGAAGGCACCTCTTTACATAGAAGGGCAATGAAGAAACGACGTATCCCATTATTTGTAAGGGATAGACAATGATGGAATCCGTGCTGCTCAAAATGATGTTGAAGGCATTCATAGGGAGAACCAAGACAGCTGCTGACTACACTCCATTCATGCCACCGAAGCTTGGAGGCCAAATAACTTTGCTAGCTTCTGGCAACCAAGATGAAGGATGAGATGTGTAAGTTTAGACCGATTTGGCAAACATCCTGATGCCCAGTGCCTGCTCTGCTGGGGGAAGTTAAGTGTCTGGATGTGTTTATGATTTGAGATGAGACCACAATCAACTCAAGTCACGATGGTCAAAAGTCGGCTATGGAAGGCTAAGTGGAATGATGAAAATGGATGACTGTGGCTAATTTCGCACAAATTACTTGTCCAGCCTAAATTTTCCATGCTAACGAGCAGTAGGGTTAAAAATGTTAAGGAGTTTGAGAGTCCATTCGATTGTGCAACGCAATGACCACTTTTAACCCCTTTGGCAACCTAAACTAAATGTTTCAATCCCAGAAAGGGGATAAATTATCTCCAAATTGTGAGGAGGAGTGCAAAACCGCAAAAAACCGAGATCATTACCTGATTTCTCAAAAGAACCAATTCTGATTGTAACCAGTATCCCGAACATGGTGGTCTCTACTCTAGCCTGCAAACGCTTGAGGCGTGCAGCTCTGCCATTCGAACATTTGCATCTCCACAAGTTTATCGGCTTAGCAGTTTGTCACGGAGGCTTTGACAAAGGCTTTGTTGCTAGCTCTACCATGATTCAAAAATTGATCCAAGGTTTGTCAATAAGGCGATTTAGGTGAGGCAAAAAGCATGATGCAGTGGTTATGTTTCCTCCTCTTCATCAATGATAGCACTTGTAAGCTGTGTAACACAAGCAGCCTGCAATTATTGCTGATTACTAAGTCTGGCATACGGCTGTGGGGCGAGAGAAAGGTAAAGCCATATCGCCTACTCAAGTGCTAGACTCAACAAAAAGTGGATGCTAAAAGTGTGAAGTTAAATTTACTCTTTACCACCTTCTATAGAGGTACGCACTTTAAACATTGCTGCAGAGAGAAGGCAGTTGAGATGAGGACGGTTATTTTGATTAAAAGGAAGAAAGACCGCTTCGCCAGACTTTGGAATGGTGCGATTTGGTGTGAAAATGGAAACACCCGCAGTAATGCTGCTATCCTGTCTTGCAGATCAATCGCTATAGGAGGAGGTAGTGGTGCGCTGCAGTGCAGCGGACATTGAATTTTAGAGTGTGTACAGCATCCAAGAGCCGTGGCTAAAAAAATCGGATTTTGATTTTGACACGACCTCGGTGTGCAGGTGATCGTTACTTAGTCCTACAAGCCCACAACCAGTGAAATGACCTCAAAAGACAGTACGGCTAAATATAGTTGTACTGGGGTGAGGTAAGGTCTCCGTCTGCTGATTAGCACCTAAATTTCTTCCAGAGTTGCATACAAACTGGGCCACATTAGCCAATTGATGCTAGATGCCTGCGATCTCGGCTAAATCTATGTTGCTAGTCGCAGTAGCTTTTAAATTTAGCATGAGTTTCTTGTTGACTTGTGGTGAGAGAGATTTGATGCCTTTTGGCTATGGTGGACTGCTGAGCTGGTGTGGTTGAGGTAGAACTCGTGCAAACATAAGATGTCGAAATTACTTCCTTAGTTGTTGCAACCCAAGCGTCCCACATAATCATCACGACCAAAGCATGAATTTTAAAAACCAATCGTTTTTATGAAGGCATCAAAGTTTAGAACATCGACAAGGCAAAGAAGACGTAGGATAGGGCTTAACTTAATTAATCTTCTGGTAGATTATTCGCGGCCTATCGTTTGCTGATGGAGGGAGGATTTTGGGCAATTGAAGTACCCACAATGCAATCCCCGACTCCCTTGTAGCCTAAACAATTGGAATTGGCAGAATGCAAAGACGAGGCGTAAACACAGTACCAGAGCTGGTGCTCAAGATGACAAGAAGGCTGCGCACCAACTATAAGACCGGAGTCTGTCATTGAGTAAGAATGTCGAAGGACAGTCGGCACTATCAACCCGAAAGGAAATGGTGAACTCTGTGCAAACATAATCATAATTCTCATGCCTCTTGCATAAGTAACGACTCAAGTTAACCGATCTCCTCTCCCAGATGCCACGAGGATCGGGGTTAAAGAGGTGGACATTTCAATGTGCTAGTCGGAGAAGACTACACATCAAACTTCACAATTCTGACTTTAAGCTCATTACGATAAGCCAACATTTAATTTACAGTCAATGTTTGCTAAGACGGTGCCACTCAAGTCATTGTTTCGGTTTATTAGTGTGCTAATGGAAGCAGACCACTCCCTGTGTTGATAATTTATCTGGCCGCCATGGCACCAGCAGCCGTGACGCAGTGAAAACGTTATTAAGATGCACAAACAATGACGCCTTATACAGCAGCGATTGGCTTAATTTTAACTTGGACAATGACCGTGCATGAATGTTCCAACGTTAAGTAAAATAGCAAGGGCCTTTGCAGTTCCCACTGAGACCTTGAGGCATTAACTAACGGTAGTCTGCCTTTCGTGCCTCCTTTGAAAGCATATACAATGGCCATCACAACAACTCATACTCCCTCAACACAGAAGTTGATGAAATGCAAATCGGTAATGGAGGACCATCAGCAGGGATAAAACTTGAAGGCTAGAAGAGGTGATAAGATAGCGATAGCGGGTGAGGACTCAAACTTTGTACAATAGATAAGGTCAATGGAATAGATGCTGTCTTAATCTTGCATCGTGCAGGATGCATTTAGTAGTCCTTTTGAAATTTAATTTACAATAGAAGGCGCAGACAGTTTACATTGTTGATTTGATCAAGACAAACACAGAGACAGACTTCCAAAGGTATTATAGAACAGTGAAAATGGATTAACAAAGGGCGAGTATTCTTACATTTTCTCCACCATTTTAATCACAAGTGTCTTCAAGATTTCGGTACGCATGACAGCAGTTCGGAGAACGTCTTCGTGAGTGCAAGCAACTTCCGTGTCTTCGCCAAGTCCAACCTTGTCAGTAATGACTGAAATGGCAAAGACCTTCATGCCAACATGCTTTGCCACAATGGTCTCGTGTGCTGTGCTCATTCCAACCGCATCAGCACCGATCAGCCTGTGAAATTGCGATTCTGAAGTGGTTGAGTAACTGGGTCCTATTACCGCCAGATAGACACCCTCATGCAGGTGGTCTTCAATATGCATTTCCGCACCCACCGTCTTGGCCACTTCACGCAACTCCTTCGTGTAGATATCAGTCATGGCTGGAAAACGCGGTCCAAATCTAAGGAGATGCAATGTGACAGTGCAAACTACCTCTCATCATTGGGTCCAACCAAGGGGTTCAAGCCTGTCATCCCAAGCAAGTTGATGTGGTCCTTGATTATCATCAAGTCGCCCGCATTGTAGTCGGGGTTGAGACCACCTGCTGCATTGGTGACAATGAGGGTCTCCACACCCAACAACTTCATCACTCGTATGGGCAGAGTGACCTGAGCAATGGAGCTGCCACAAGATGCGCCTTACCTGACTCATTGGGTAGCCCTCGTAGGGATGGAAACGACCCTGCATGACGACGACATATTTGCCAGCGAGTTTGCCGAACACGAGGTTACCGGGATGGCCTTTGACAGTGGTGATGGGGAAATGCTTGATGTCGGCATACTTGATGCGGATGGGTTGGGAGACGGCGTCGGCCACCTTGTCCAGTCCGGAGCCACAGATGATGCCGACTTGTGGTGTGAGAGGCACCTTTGATTTGATGAAGTTAGCAGCAGTTGTGGCGTCTTCGTAGAAGTCCATAGGAGGTTTGTGCGTGTGTGTGTGTGTGTGTGACGATGGAGGTGCGATGTGTCCCACTGATTTATCGGTGGTTTATATGGGGCGCATGGAGAATGGAATGTGTTGCGGCTGTCAAGACTAGCCAGTGAGACAGCCGCACAACGTTGTGTTTACATCGGCGTTGAAGTTATTGTAAATAGAAATTACCTTAAACGCATGGTGTTTGCGTTAAATCATCAAAGCTGTTCGCCATTGATTACGCCTTGCAGATTCCATTATTTTGACTTGTTTGTAAATCAGAATACCACCCATGTAATTCTGCTTTTAGTTTCTTACAGTTTGACATAGTGGCGGCCTCATTGTCTCACTTCTTATCAGTTTTTAATTTAACTATTTGTAGATAGATGTATTTTCCTCACACCCACTTCATTTAATGAGCTCGCTTTTCTGTGAAATTTTGCAGATCTGCACCCCCTCCTTCCACCCTATATGTTTCAGTTTGTATGCACTCCTTTCTTTATAATAAAATGTTTTAAATTAGTCATATTACAACACTTGTGTCCTTTGCATTCCCTGATTGTAAAAGAAGGATTATGCAATCACTTAACAGCCCTGCGATTTTGACACAAAAAATGGGTTGCGCACAATGCCCCACGGCTTGACTTTTACCTGATGAGCTTGTTGAAGTCAGATTGTTCAAGTATTCGCACCTACTCCACATGTGCTCATCAGTAAGCTGTTTTCCTACAGCAAGGCCATTGGTGTTGTACATCTCCTGACCGAATCGCCCACCACCTCTCTCCTGGGTTCTGCTAAAATCACTTGTAGAATCATTTTCAATAGGTGTCAGATAAAAGGCGTGATGCCAAGAGCACGAACGTGGAGGAAGATAGGACACCGTTACACCCTGACAATCGGCTGGTAAATTCCATTGTAGGCTAATCAAATTCACAGCTATAACAGGTGTGCCTTTGAGCACCACTAAAATTGCAATTTAGCCATCCAATTGGCGTTTGACAATTTAAGGTGGACAAACAGGGTTAAACGACTCCAAGATCTTTCTATCCTTTGTGACTGGAAACAAATTTGCGCTCATGTGGATCACAAACAGCCGCCATTTCGCAACAAATTCTTGATCTCCCTCATCTGCTTGATGCAGTGCGTTGGGTGCAGCTTGAAGTTTCTTGATTGCCTCAACTCAACTGCTAACCTCCCAAAACTGAAGGGACAAAACCCAATAAAATCCACAAAAAGAAGAACGACTCAAATTTAAATGTCGGCAGCTTGAAACTCACTAAAAGTTGTAGCGAGAGACAGTAAACTTATTGCTCAGGTGAGAAAGAATTTTGCAGGAGCGGAGACTAACCGAGGCACTTATGCGTTGTTGTAAAATGATCTGATTTGTAAAATTACCAGTTGATGAGAATAAATTAAACAAAGAGTGTTGTTTTTTTGCATCTTTAATGGGCCTTGATGGAAGGAAACCCGAAACAGTGGAAAATTACCTTTTTAAATGAAGATCGCATTACTTGTGACTTTTTCAAGGCGTCGTCATTAAGGCGCTTAATAGTTCTTTAAGGAAGAAACCCAAGATATTTGCAACTATAACTTACAAATCTAGGTTTTTGAGTAAGGCAGTATGCACAATACTTTGTTCGTTCGTTTGCATAAAAATATGCATGTTGCCATGTTTTAAGTCCTCCATCACCTAGCCGGACGTCTTAGGACGAATTCCCACATTTTGTGTCAAAATTTGCGTTGCAAACGAAATGCACATGCTCGAGAGGCAGGAACTCTAATTTCTCCACAACAGAAGGGCTAAGAATGGCGTATGCCTTGGCATCCACCACATTTCCGCATTCCACCAAGAAGCTATTAACAAATGAAGTAACATTTATCGTGAACCATTTGTGAGCGTTACATTTTGGCGTCTGTTATAGCCCACCTGCCCACAGATGTTGGCATTGTGTAATTACAAGAAATCTTAGAGTACTGGCTAGAATTCCATACTACCTACTGCGACTTTGCTTTGGACCACAGGGCACAGGGAGACCTAATGATCGACAGAATTCCTCGTCACAAGGCCCTTCTTTAAACCAAACGGAACTCTAGGGAACTCTAGGGAATTTGCAGGAAGGTTCCAGACACGATGAGGTCAAGTACATTCTCTCTTCCACAAAGGAGCTGAGGATTGACGTATCTGACTGGTGGATGATGGCTAACGCAGGAGGTGACAGGGACGTTGTTCGAAAGAAGAGAGGAGCTGCAAAATACTTTGCTTTCCGACTGTCTGTATGAGTTACTGTCACGTTGGTGGCCGCATTGGTTCTGTTGGGTGAGGTGGCCTTCGAGCCATGCCGATAGCTCTATCACCTTCGTTTTTGTCCAAGCATATACATTCAGTCAAATCTTATGTCTACTCATATGTAATAGGAAGTCTCCATAGGCTACCTTATGACTGGAGAAATAAATGACAAAAATACAACTTTCTTAGGCATGAAGACGTAGAATTTTGTTCACATACCATCCTTTGACTGCTAGCATTTTGTATGTGTGTAACAAACCAACATTGCAAAGGCATTTGTAACATCAAATTTCACAATAAAGCGCAAGGCGCTAACTGCAGACTAAAAACACATAAACAAAAAAAAGTTTGCACCGCAGTGTCTGGATGCCCAAATTTTAGCAAGCTGTTTCTTCCACTTCCAAACAAAGTGGGTTTTAGCCTTCGTCTACCGATGTTTCAACATAACTTGACATGCGCTCGACAGTCAGTATTTCTAGGTGCAGCAGATTATTTTCTTCAATAACTCATTTTTCACCTCCCTTCATTCGTAATTGAGTAGTTGTGAATTAGGAAATTGCCAATTAATTCCAGTCATGACCATTGGACTCAGCTTATAGTAATTTATAGTACCCAACTTAATTGGTTAAAACTTCGTTTAGATTTGGTGATTACCGCAAGCTATGCTGTCGCCATGGTCTCCTGACAATGTTGGTAGACTCAACTTTTCTTTATCTCAGTAGCACATATTTTGCATACGTATTTTGTCCATATTCTATACTTTTATTCAACTTTAAGAAAATTTTGGGATACTACGATTCTTTACCGTAGAGCGACACTAGTACAGTCTGTACTTTTAATTCAAGAGGGAGTGTTGTCTGCCGACATGACCTGAACGATGTCTCACTGAACTTAATGTACTTCATAAAACATCTCTGACGTCCTTTTTAGAACAGTGGTTAATGTCACTAAAGTGCAAGCAACAAAATTTTACTTCCAGCGGCCATTGTGAACATAAAATATATAAATATATGATATCGTACTACTTATTAATTATTAAGTAGCACCCAATTTTAATGCTATATTGGCGCCAGTTCTTCCTAATCAAATAAAAGTAATAGACCCAATGAAAACGAAGAACGTATAAGAGGGCAATAAGGCCTTGTGGTTGTGTTCACTTGCGAAACTGGTGGATTGCCCACCCGGAACATTTCCCTGAATTTAACAATGTCCATTCTCTATATTCAAATAGCGGTTTGATGAAAGAAGAGACGAGATCTTGCTACACCAAAGTCACATAAAAGAAGTCCACATTTGAGTAAAAATTCATTACCAATAATAAGCTGGTCGACAAATTTGCATTGACAAATGAGAAAAAAGCCCATAAGACATTGCGAAATTGCCACTTTACAGATACGAAGAGATGGTTGACTGATAAGAGATCAAATGCCCTTACATTCTTTCGATCATTTTCATGACAAACGTCTTCATTACCTCACCACGCATCGCAGCAGTTTGAAGAACCTCATCATGGGTGCAGATTACCTGGCTGTCTTCCTCAATGACAATTTTGTTGGTGATGAGAGACATTGCAAAGACCTTCATGCCAACGTGCTTTGCCACAATGGTCTCGTGTGCTGTGCTCATTCCAACCGCATCAGCACCAGTTAGTCTGGCAAATCTCGACTCTGAAATCGTCTCGTAGGTGGGCCCCATCTCAGCCAGATAGACACCCTCATGCAGGTAGTCCTCAATATGCATTTCCGCACCCACCGTCTTGGCCATTTCACGCAACTCCTTCGTGTAGATATCAGTCATGGCTGGAAAACGT